GAGTTGGAAAGACGAGGTCCAGTTGTTCTACTGACTATTTAATAAGTTATAGGTATCACGCCTGATGCTTTCTTTATCGCACAGAACACGAGCTAAGTAGGGTATGGTTGAGTTTTTGTACTTGCTGGTGCGGGTGTATAGTTTTCTATATCGGCTTCTGGTTTTGCCTGATGAGATGCAAGGGGAGAGTTGTGAGTGAAGAGGGTGGTGTGAGTTAGACAAAATGAACTTGGCCCATCTTTCACATGAGTCCATGTGCCTGTCGACCAGAATATTAACAAGCTGGTTAAGTGGCACATTGCTTACCCTGCTGACAACCTTTAACACCCTACGTAATAAGATATAGTCCTTCTTCATTAGCCCGGGAAAAACTAAGGGGGAACAATAGAGAGTAATAGGCACAATGCGAGAGTTAAAGAATTGTAAGAGTAAGGGTTAGGTTATACCAGAATGTTTTAACTTCTTCATGTAGAAGGTAAGATGGAATATTTTCTTAGAAATCGCCAAGATATGAGACTATCAGGAGAGATCAGCAGATAGAATGACGCCTAGGTATTTAATTTCCGACTTGGTTTCTATTTCAGTGCCATCTATGTTGCACATCTCGTGGGAGCTGACCAGTTTGTTTAGGTCAGATTTATGCCTAAATGTGAAATTGGCTGTTTGGCATTTGCAGGGGTTTAAGGTAAGACCGTTTTCCTTGGACCACTGGCTGATTTCTGACAGAAAGCCATTAAGTTTAGAGCAGTCACTTTGATATTTGACATAAGGCTTCAACGGTGCATCTCTATTTCATCCTGTTCTTTTATCGTCCTCTTCAGCTGACCCGAAGAATGTCCATAAGCTTTCATCCCCACCTCACATTATATCCTTAATATATCACTGTCGTATCGATTTTCAACTCGTCGTTTCCCACTGTGGGTTCACTTCACAACCCGGTGCATGATTTCACCCACCGATCTCCTCAGAGTATGTGCAATCCGTCCCCATTTTTCCGGTGTATTTGTTTGCCAATAGACTGTTGGTATGTCCGTTGGTAACCTCATCTAGTTTACTAGTCCGGCTAGTTTTTTAGTCGGTCCCAAGCCTGGTTAAAGAGAAAGGGTTGGGCGTGGGCTTAGCGACCCTACTCCACAAAACCAATCAAACTGTTAAGGAAACTTCAACTCACAAGAGAAATATTAAAAATGCAAAAAATATATAAAACATACTTATTCTTCACTGAAATTAAAAAGGCGAAATGACGCCGTGGGCTGTTTAAAGCCAGCCTTCGAGAAGCCAGTCAGCCAGCCTAGTCTTCTCGGGATGAAAGCAAGAATAGGAGTGGGAACGCGGAATGTACGTACAATTTACGAGCCTGGCTGGGAAGGCAGCCCAGGTTACTAAGGAAATGACAAAATATGGCACAGGAGTGCTAGGAACCTGAGAAAGTAGATGGAATGGATGTGGATTTGACTAGCTTGTCATGAAAAGCATTTCCAACAGTCAGCTTCCGACCTTTATTAACACTTGCCCCCTTCGCTTGTTCCATACTGAATGTCAAATGGTTAGCCTGAAAGATATTTCAACAAGAAACTCTGGCGATGAACGAACCAACGAACAGCCAGTTGCTCAGCAAATATGTAAAAGAAAAATGGAGATGGATTGGGCATACGCTACTGAGGAGACCGTCGGATGACATCATGCTCAATGCAGACCATCTTTCGAGTGGAATCCCAATGGGAAGTGAGCGACGAGTGGGTCGTCAGTGTGAGGGTGACGTGGAGGAGATCATGTGTTGGGGAGGGGGAGGAGGAAATGGCAGATTATGGGCAATAATTGTAGCCCCAGCCAGTCGAAGAAGACAGCAGAAAATTGAAGAAAATGCAGACGTGCTGTTGAAGCTATATGTTCCACACGGAACTCAAGGGAATGATAATGATAAATAATGTTCGTTGGTAGAGTTTCTTATAGCTTGTCATTTCTAGTTTAGTCATCTGATCACCGGTAAGCAGATGGTGGAGACAGCTGTTGATGAAAGTCTAAAGCCTATTGGAAATTTCCTCCACGACGCCGCAAGTCTCTGAACCACACACAAGTGCGGACTGAATTGATATTAGCGTTGAAAATGTGAATTTTATCCTCTCTGCTGAGTACAACAGATTTCCACGCTTATTTCAGAGTAATCCGGCTCGGTTTCTATAAATATCTGAAGAATGTGACTAACTAGCTTAAGGACTTCACTTACACCCCAGTGTATGCTGAGTTCGAATCCCTCCCCGTCTACTTCAACCTAAGCAACTAGATAGCGTTATCAGCCCTCACACAACAAGTATAGCTCATAAGCCTGGTAAATGAAGATCTATTCCAGTTGGGTGTGGACTAGTTAACTAACTAACTAACTTGACATAAATATTGTCAAAGTTCATAAGTCAGGATACCTTATTAGACCTATAGTTGAATTTAGAAATTCACCTACTTACGAATTGTCTAAATATTTAGCTTACATATTAAATCCTCTTAAAAGCCACTCAAAATGTAGACTAACAAATTCTTATGAACTAAAACGCAGATTAGATAATTTAAAATTAGATAATGAAGAAAGAAATGGTTAGTTTTGACATTGTCAGTTTATATACACGTATACCGATAAATATGGCTATAGAAGCAGTCAGAAACGACGTCATTTCTGACCAAGAACTTGAACTTAGAACGAAATTGCCACTTGAAGACATAATGCTGTGAGTGCAGCTATGGCTGACTTCCACAGTATTTAAATCCCAAAGGAAAATATACAAACAAACTGAGGGAGTTGCCATGGGATCACCAATATTCCCGATTGTGGCAGATATATTCATGGATAGGTGGTAAAACATAGCAATTGAAACGTTCACCCCCACCCCAAAATAATGGTGGAGGTATGTGGATGACGCATTCACTGTACTTAGAACACAGGACATAAATAGATTTTTCGAACACATTAACTTGAAGGTAAAGGCAATTGAATTCATTGATGAAGTGGAAAGTCAAGAAGGGGAGCTTCCAATGTTAGATTGTAGCGCAAAAAGGAAAGAAGATGAGAAGTTAAAACACACTAGCGTTTGCACAAAAACCCACACATTCAAACCGATATTTGGATTTCCTATCATCCTACCCTATGTCAGTAAAAATATTATTGGTGAAATGTTTAAGTAATACAAAACAAAAACGAAGCAGTACCCAGGAAAATCTAAGGTGGGAAGTGAGTCATATAAGAGAAGCTTTGGAACTTAATAATTACCCTGATAAATTAGTCAGAAATTATGTAGGGAAATGTAAAAATAGAATTAATAATAATAGTAGTGATAGTGATAATAATAATAATAACATTAATGACGACATGCATGTCAAACATGCGCAAGATAATGACAGCACCTACAATAAGGAATCTACATCATTAGTAGTAATTCCATACAAAGAAGGAACTTCGGAAACCACCTTACGCAGAATTCTTAAAAAGGCAGGAATAAAAGTGGCTGGTATTCAAACTACCCACAAACTCAATTAGAAACAAGCCTTGTCGGTTAAAGGACCAATCCTGTGGAGCCAATTAAACAAAACAATTTAGTTTGTCTAATACCCTGCAATGATTTTCAGGTCAAATAAATAGGTCTAAGTAGTAGAACAGGGGCAGTCAGACTAGCCGAGCACAAAAGCCTAGCAGCAAAGTCTAGATTAGTTGGCCCGGATAAGATAAGAAATCTAGACAATAGTTGGCTCAGCTATAGTGCTCACTACATGCAATTACACACAATTGTGCAATAGGATGGGATAAGATGACAGTTTTAAAATCTAATGTAACAGGGTATAGGGAGAGATTGATAACGGAAGGTTGTTTATCGATTTAACTGCAAACACCTGTCTCAGATATCTAGAAAATTCCACTACCCCTACAACGACGAATAGGAGAGAACAAAGAAAACTATAAAACTCAAGTTTCGAATTTGTGTGACTATAACTGATGGCATGATTATGAACAGTAATAAATTGTGTTCGAAACGTCACCCGGTAAATAATACTGTTTCGCTGACTGTGTGGTGTATATCTAATAAACAAATTAATATAGAATTACATTGCTACTACAGTGCCCAAGTTTTACGCATATATAATAAGGTAGTAAGAAGACGAATTTCGCGAGATGATATCATTTCGTAGTTTCTTTACAACTAGCATAGTTAACAATAATAAAATAAAGTTCATGACAATTACTCATTTAAATAAAAAAACAAAAGTACATACTAATGACCAATCATATTTAAATACGTCAAGCAGTCCATGGTAGGCGAAGGTTGGAGTTTGCTGTTTTTTTGTACACACAGTTTAGGCTGTATGTGATTAATCCCCAAAAGTGCTTCCATCCACACAGTCATTAATAATATTGGGCTTGTGACCTGACATTAATAAGTGTTTTGCAATGGATGATGCTGGATTTCTATTCAGATTACTGGCATTGGGATTTTCTATATGATTTTGTAGCCATTTTGGAACATGTTCTTTTCCACGACATTGGAACATTCTATTGGTCCTATCTTTATAGGTGTCACCGCAGCTGCAGGTGAACTTGTAGATACAGTTTGAAGTAGAATTCACAGAATTTCGTCCTTTACTCCTGTAGGTACAGGGATCGAAAATGTTTGGCATGTGAGAAAAAGAGATGCGGCGTAGAATTTGCGTTTGATGGCTGACCGAAGTCTTTGAGCTGTCAACTGGTAGGTTAATAAACATAGCTTTCTTTGGTACAGAAGATGTCAAACTACGAAATAGATATCATCTCGCGAAATTTGTCTTCTTAATGCCTTATTCAAATTTATCAAGGGGACTAATTGTTTTAACATATATAATAATTAAATGTGGAACTTCTTTTAACAGTAGGGTCTACGAATTACAGTATTGAACACCCTTCACTGATAAATCGGTGTGAATACTAATTCTTGTGTTGCATTCACATTAAACACTTACTGTGATTTTTTGCAAATTTTCAGGATTTCCCACAATATCTAACAATACTAAGTGCTGATTTCCACAACTCTTCTGAAAATATACATCCAACGAATACTTCTAAATGCTTTCATGGATTCAACGCTATTGAAGTACCATCTGAACGTTGTCAATCAGCTAGTTCACTGCTTACATCGACAACAACAACTGCTATCGATACTGCCGCCGCCTTGAATTTATCTTCATCACCATGTCAGCTTAAATGTAATAATTCACATTCGAGTTTAAGCAAAACATGTTCATCTTCATTTTACGTGGACTGTATTCATCCTGCTGTTTCATCATCATCGGTTACTACTGTTGATAATGACAATCTATTGAAGGATCATTGTTCCAATTCAAACAGTCCGATAGCCGATACCAATTCCGTCGTAGAAACATCTTGTGTTACTGCTGTCATTAGTGGTTTGAATAAGTTACAAAGTCATTCGTCAACAATTCCGACCGGTAATTATCCTTTCCGTTTTGATGATATAATGAAAGCGGAGAGTGGTGTCAATGGATGGGTTAGTTCACCTTATTTAACAACCAATAATGATTCATCAGTGGTAAAAGGTTCATTCAACCCATCACCAGTGAATAGTAAACATAATGATAGTAAAAATGCTGAACAATTATTCAATCCAATTATATTGGATAGTGCTGTGACAAAAATGACTAAGTGAGTCTATATTTTCAATAATAATAATTATTATTGTTTCCTTTATTTCCTAGAGGAACATAGGGCTTCAGCCGTGCGTCTCCATTGCGTTCGGTTCTCTGCTAGAGTTTTCACCTAGCTACAAGTCTGCCTGCCCACACGTTTTCATCTCCTCTTCACATGACCTCCTCCAAGTCACCCTCGCACTTGGACGACCAACTCGCGGCTTCCCTTTCGGTTTCCACTCGAGCAATGGCTTGTCTAGTGATGTCACTTGATGGTTTGTTTTCTCAGAGTATGGCCAATCCATCTCCATTTCTTCCTGCCTATTTGTTTCACAATCAGTTCCTGGTTGGTTCGCTCCCAGATATACCTCTCTGTTGCTGATCTTTTCTGGCCGGCCATCTGATCTTGAGTATTGAGCGAAGACAACTGTTAATGAAGGTCTGTAGTTTGTTTTAGATGCTCTTTATGACGCGCTGGCCAAGTCTCTGATCCGTATAGTGGCACTGACTGACTTCACGTTGGAGTTGAAAATTCGGCTCTCATTTTTCATACTGAGCAGTGCTGTTGACCTCCACACACACTTGAGAGTATTAAAAGCTTGTCTTGCTTTCCCGATCCTCGCTGCTTTGATATCCTCATCAGTTCCGCCTGTAGTTGAAACGATGCTTCCCAGTTAGGTGGGTAGGTAAAGGAGGTTGTTTCTTTCAGGTTCCTTCCATTTATGCTGATTGTTGTCTGTTGTTGTTGTTGCTGTTGGTGGTGTTGGCCAGGAATCTTCATCACCTCTGTTTTCTCTATGTTCACCTGAAGTCCTATCTTCTCTGGATGCTTCTTCTATCGCCAACTTGTTGCTTTTCACTTGCATATCTTCCAGTTTGTGGGAAATCAGACATATGTCATCGGCGAAGTCCAGATCCTCCAAGTTCTTTGTGTGAGTCCATTTTATGCCAGTTTCCTCACTGCCCGCTCTTTGTCGCATTATCCAATCTATTGCAATCAAGAAAATCATTGGCGTAGTAGGCAGCCAGCCTTGTCTTACTCCTGTCCTCACATCGAAGGATTCCGTAAGTTTCCCGTTGTGGATTACTTGGCATCCAGCATTGTCGTACAACTGTTGAATGAGATGTATAATTTTCAATAATTGGATTTTATTATTCTCAATAGTTGTTTTGTCTTTTTCAAGTTTGACCACGGATTGATATCATTCAGAGAACCATTGAAAACCAGTACTGTTTCGTCACCCTAGTTCGGTATTCATCGACAGTGTGTATCCACCACCATAGATCGAACCCGGAACCTTCCGGTTACAAGGCAAGCTAACTCCTAGACCATTCAACCACTGGAATCCAACTCAATGACAAATGAATTTTAACTCCTACGAATTCTTGATTTTAGTGTGATTGGCACCAATATTTGTCCTCATTCCCGACAGGATGAACCCCAGTGATCACGATTTCTCAATAGAACCCCAGGAAACTCTGTCCGGTAGCTAGTCACTCGTGAGCATCAAATTAATTCTCAAGAATTGATTCGTAGGGATTTGATCTGTTTTTAATGTCTGACCACTGGATTGATATCAGTTAGAGAACCAATGAAAACCAGGGACTACTGGACATCTATTCAATCCTAGTTTGGATCCCATCGACAGTACGCACCAACTACCTGGGTTCGAACCCAGGACCTTCCGGTTACAAGGCAAGTTAGCACATATACCATTCAGCCACTGAGACCTGATTCTTCAATGGCCAGTCACTCCATGAATTCTAACTCCTACCAATTCGTGATATTTAGCTCGTCTGGCACCAACCCGTGTCACCAGCAGGAAATCCATCCTCACTCCCGACTGGATGGACCTCACTGGTCACAACTTCTCACTAGAACTAACTCCAGGAAACTCCGTCCGGTAGCATGATAAAGTCTTCTAGACAGTTGATTAACCTAATGTAATAATGTCTGCTTCGGAGGTTCAATGGCAGGACACTGGCCAACCAAGCCAAGTTATCCGGGGTTCGATCCCCGGCTGACGCGCTCCTTCACCTCACTCATTTGTTAGTAAACCCAGTAAGGAGGAGAGGTTTGCAGTGAGGCTAGCAACCCCCATCCTATGAGAAATACCACTGCTACTGGAACCTGGAAGCTCTAGCTTGAAGTCCTGTGTTCCTCTGGGAACTCAAAGGGATAAAATAAAAAATAATGTTTGGATAATCACACTCACTCTTTCTCTGTCTCTCTCCCTCTTTCTCTTCATCAAATGATGACCAGGCTGGCAGCTGTGTCTTGCAGGTGAGTTTGTATAATGTCTGATTCGTACCAAAAATCAGGTTTTCTTTCAGTTTTTAACCGTTACTTATTACGTCATATCCTGGCAATTTGAGGTGATATTGTAGCAACAGAAGACAGGGGTCAGGCAACAGATCGTTTATTAAGGAAATCAACACATATTTATAGATTTTGAAGTAATAGATTATTATTAGCAGACAAACACAGTCTTCTGATTGGTGGTTTCTCGCTGAACGTTAATCTTTCATCTGTTTGTGGCTGTTTCTTGAAGTTCAGATTATCTATCTGCAAATTGTATCCGCCTACGCAAAGTCTGCTGTGGTTGGTTGTTGAATCAGTCTTTGTTCTTATTTTTCTCATGACCGAGATATTGGACGTAAACATTGACGTAAATTATTGTCTACCAATTTAGCTAGCAGCCAGCTCTCACCACAATATCAGATAGTTTCAATAATGATCAACTTTAAAACAATTAGTTCCCTTTATGAATTTAGACAAAGCAATGAGAAGATGTAATTTGTCTGAATTGTAATTGTGTATTTGTGCAACTATTAATTTGAACAATCTGATTATACATGGACTTGTCATAGGAAGAAGTGTATGTTAAATTAATAAAGAGTTAACAGGTGAGAAATAGAAATAGGCTTAGGTCAAGTTAAAAGGACATACTGAAGGTCAAAATAACAATGAAGACGAATCGGTAAACCAAATAAGACAGGTAATAGTACATCTACCTTAATATCATCAAAACAAAGTTTACCAAGGAAGGAAGGTTTAGTTAGTGTGATGACGAATTGTTGCTTTGATCGCATAAAGGTGGTTTAAACTTCCTAATTGCCAGTGATGGCTTCCACAAACTTTAGGATACACCCTATCCCATACACGTTCTATAAATAGGTTTAAAAGACGTGTGTGAACATCATTCCTATGTCCTGCGTCGGTGGCACAGTGGTTAGGACTCTCGCCGACCATGCACATGGCCCGGGGTTCGAACCCCTGCCGGCGCACACCCGATATCTATGGTCGGCCTGTAAATTTGGGCTACCGATATCCATGCTGAAAATTCCATACTTGTACTGAAAATACGGTGTGGAATCAAGCTGTAATCAAAAAAAAAAAAATGTGTTTCGCAATAGAGAAGCTAATTGGTCTTTACTCACCATCAATGGGTTCTGGGGATTCTGTTTGCTTCTGGAGACATTTAGGAATATGCTCTGAAGCCAACCCTTACTTGCAGAGATCGATGAGTCCTCCCTTCTATGTATGTGTGTCCACATGTATATTTAAATTCGTAAATACAATAGGATGTGACGTCATTTTTCGCATGTTCTAAGGGCTTCGATGGATATATTGGTTTCACATTCTCAATTATTATAACATTACCTGCATAAAAAGTCTTTTCAACAGCAGTGTTCAATCTTTGTCTAGTTGTCAAGCTGCTATAACCCCCCATATAGAGTAGCTTGATGTACACGTCTTAGGGGCGAGGTGGAGAGTGAGTGAGTCTTGCTGTTCTGACTACTTCATATCTCCTTATGAACTTGTCTGGATAATTATTATCAAGCAGAGTTTGTGTCAACTTTCTTTCTTCCTCATCATCAAGTGTATCTGTCTTCTGTGCATATTCATTGGATTCTACTGAAGAGACACCCCGCTCACTAAGGCTCTTTTGTACCGAAAATTTCAAAACACAATTGAAAAATCCTAATAATCACTGTTTTGTATTCATTATTTTTTGACAGTACAATTTGTGAACAATCAGATAATCAAACGCACCATACATCAATTCCAAAATATCATCATCATCCTAGTTACAGTAGTAGTCAAGAGTCTATCGCTAATGAATGTGTACTAAAGGATGATGGTAGCAGTCATTTAATTGATCGACAAACTGGTTTAAATTCAAATTCCAATAATCTTCAGGGATTGTCTCCTTCATCGTCATCATCGAATCTTACATCTTCTCCTTCTCAGTCTTCTTCCTCCTGTACAACACTGACACATTCGAACAGATCCAGGTGTCATGAGTGCAATAGACGAACACGACTGGCCTGTGGTTTCAGTTGCCGGTGAGTTCGATATTTATTTTTTTGAAAATAAGCATTTCTTTGTTTAATGAAAGTTTAATCATTGATTTTTTCCCAACTAGGGGCGGGGAGGGGCAGAATATGAAAAGAAGTTATGTCTGGATTCAAACCATATAACTTCAAATCAACTGATAGTCTAGTCTTTGAGATGTACACTTCAGTACTGAGTTCTTTGAACGCTCTAGTTATTTTCAAGCCTTAGTTTGCAGAGATTTCATTGGTTACTGGTATGGTCACAAGCTGACATGAGATAGGGAACCACTGGAAGACCAGGAAGTACTGGGAGTACCAGCCACTTGAACCCGATCCAATGGCCCATGAATATTCCTGCTTCTGCCAATTCTCGACTCGATATCTGTATACAGCGCAACCGCTATCGGAGGGTATCTGTTCTTTTACCTAACTTAGTGGACCCCACTGGTCACGATGCCTGACTTGAACTCCCAAGCAACTAACTAATGAAGAGTCTTAAACTGGGACGAAACATCTGGTCAGTAATCCCTAGTTTGCCAACGATTCTTTAACTGATGTCAGCTCGTGACTGAGCCTGTAACTATAGCTGTTTATTTTTCTGTTTGTGTAACATGCATATAGAAAACAATTTATTGGGACATACTCAATTTGGAAGTGACCAGAAGACAGCTCACTAACTTCCACAGTTGGGTACCTCTATATACTAAACGAAACTTAATCCGTTCACTAAGCCACAGAATACGTAGAATTTTCAGCCTGGACGCCATAGAAGATGAAATGAACACTCTTAAGAAAATCCTCCTTGAAAATGGCTATCCAGAAAGATTTATCACAAAATCAATGAAACCCAGACCAGAGAAGCCGCCTACACCCAGTGCTCCAAAAAGACTTCTCTATATGAACCTACAGTTCAATAGAGACCAATCTACAGAAATACTGGGAAATTGGCTCTCCCGCTCATTGAAGAAAACCTTCTCTGTAGCTGAATTACGACTGACGTTCTCCACGAGACCAATGATTCGTATGAACGTGAAGGATAAGCTACCGCTGTTGGCCTCATCTATGTGCATCTACCAATTCACCTGCTCCTGTGGAGCCAGGTATATCGGCCGTACTCAGCGTTCGCTATCCAAACGCGTCAACGAACATTTACCTTCATGGTTTTATAAAGGAGAAAACCGATGCCCCCGCAGCTCGATCCTTGAACATTTGATCGACTCTGGACACCAAGTCAAACCAGAAATAAACTTCAAAGTTATCTACAGAATACAAGGCAATCTTGCTAAAAGTGTACGGATCAAACTTCTCCACATCGCAGAAGCAATGGCAATTCATCTGCTAAATCCTGAACTCTGCATACAAAAGAAATTCGTTCATTCACTAAATCTACAATGGACGTAATCTTTCTTAATTTCAGTCTTACTAATTGTATTATTTTGTCTTTTGCATTTTATTATTTCACATCTTCATTTATATTATTCTCTACCCCACCCTTTTGTAATCTCTACCCTCATTAACAATGTTGGTAACTCGACCCACGTCCAATTTCTAGTCAACTGTGTTACGTCATCCGATTAACTTACTTATTTTCAACTGTATTATTCTCTAACCCCACCCTTATTTGATTTTAAACACCACTCATTAATAATGTTGCCAACCTGATCTAATCTGAATTCTACTCACTTAATCAATTCTATTTCATTTTCCATCTTAACGTTTGTTTCCAAGCCAAAAAAATACTTATATTACATAATTATCTAAACTTTATAAATCTAATGTACACACACACAAACAAAATTGTATAAATATGTGATTGTACAGCTCAGTGAATGAATTCGCCGAAAAGAGTCTCTTCGCTGAACGCCTTCTTTTCTTTTATAGATATTTCGCACAGTATGTCGCGAGCATTTTCTTCTTTTTTCCTCTGCTGGAAATCAATAAGGACTGGTCCTCAACCAGTGCCTTTGATGTGTATGTCTACGTCACCTAGATTTGGAAGATTTCAGTCTTCGCAACTTCTCAGGACAGTTTTAGGATATACATTGAGTAAACATCAATGACCTGTTGATTGAAATTCAAATTGTGCGGTTTGGATTAATTTCTATTGTTAGATTTCCCTCATAAATCAATATCAGTTTAATAAAAAATTGAAGATAATAATTCCAAAAATTTAATTGGTGTATGGTGACTAGCAGTGGAATCCAGGATGCGCATTTCATCCTGTTTGGGACTCATCAGCCTCTGGATGTACCTGCATTCCGCAGTGAGTCAGTGATGATGTTCCCACCGATGAGGCTCGAACCCAGTGCCCATAGTTTCAAACACCAGCCAAAGCGTGATCCACTAGACCACTTGGGCCACGAGAGCCACTCCACCTCTTGTGCAACGGGTCATACTAGTTATTCAATTGAATTGTAGATTTCCCGTCGATTGATTGGACCGAAGTGCTCAGTCTCAGGTTGACATGTCTGTTGGCTTCTTGTACAGATGCTTCGACGATGTGTCTGGGCATGTAATTAGAAGCCGACATTTCAACCCGAGACCGAGCACTTCGGTCCAACCAGTCAATCAACGGGAAAATCTAAAATTCAATTAAATAATTTGAAGAGTTAATTTGTAAGAATTTGATTTGTCTTTTCCGAGTTAGACCACGGATTGATATCAGTTAGAGAAGCTTCAATATTGTGAAATATTCCCATATTATGAATTAAAAGTCAATCTGAACGAAGAATATTCTTTTCAATAATTTCTCCTTTTCAGGTTATTGTTGCCGTTACAATAATGGCCAGTTAGTTATGCGGCGGATACATTTTTTAACTTAGAATAACAGATTAGTTATGGTGTGTCGCTTACATCTGCTACACATAGCTGAAGCTGTTGCAATAAGATCGACTAAACCAGAACTTTGTATCCAAAAAGAACACGTTCAGGCACGCACTGTTCCGACCGTGGCCAAACTTCGATTGATGATTCTTCTTCTCACCAAGCGTGCTTCTTCCCCTTAACCCTCCCTCTTGGTTTTTTTCCTTTGCTTATTATTAGTTATTATTATTTGTCATAATTTATGCCCTTCATGCAAACATTCTCTCAATACTATCGAATTTTCCATTTATACTATCCGAACTTATTATTAGTGATATTATCTCTTTTCTCAATATACATCTCCACCTGTTTCATTTCACATATTCGTTATTTCATGATGACCTCCTTATTGCAGTCTTACCATCTCTGCCTCTTTAATACATACCACTTTGTACTAGCCACTGACTCACCTGACACCTTTCTATAACCTTGAACTGACTTGTCAGTTTTTCCTAACCCACATTCTACAAATCTATTATGATTAATCACCACCATTGTCTCCCATTTCACCGAAATATTTTGTAATCGATTTCAGCCTAGCAAGATGTTTGTCACACAAATACGACTATTTATTTTGACATCCCATAGCACTAATCTGTTATTCTACATAAAAAATGTATCGGCCGCATAACTAACTGGCCATTATTGCAATGACAACAAATATATATTATATTTTAAAAGTGTAAGAACCTGAAGAAGAGAAATTATTGAAAAGAATATTTTTCGACCAGATTGACTTTTAGTTAGAGAAGCATTGAATAATTTCCAAAAATAGAAATATCACACAATTTATACACACCAATGTATTATTGATATAAGTATAAAACTTGGGCACTGTGGTAGAGTATAACTCCATTATCGATAAGATTTTATCTAGGTAAATCGCACAGTGGTGTGCAGTAATATTTACTGATGACCACATTTTAAGCACAAATTATCGCCACTCATAGTCATATCAAGTCACTCACTCACATAACTTTCTTGCTTCATTTATATACATGTGTGCAATCGATTAGATATTGGAATAAAAATCAATATGAGATAATGTACATTCAGAAATGATAATATGAGCGTTATCAATCAAATACAATCAGATGGGAAATAAGACGAGTGTTTTTATAGTCAAAATAAATAAGTAATTTGTTAGAATGTTATGATGAATGTGAATTGAAATACAATACAATTTAAGATTATTTATTATCCTCTTCTGATTTGACTGACTGGTAGTAATAATGTCTTCCATGCATACCTCTGGTATTTGCATTGAGTCAGTTCTGTTGCATGTGTTGGGTGTAGACTCAATGAACCAGGATTTAGTAATCAAACTCTCTAGCTTTCCAAGAACCTATATTACCTTTTGGAATTTGGACTCTGTCCCATTCTATTGTGCGGTTGTGTCGGTCGGTTTCCGACATAGATTTTTGCACATATGTGCGGTAGTTCAAGTCGCCACACTCCATGTAGCACACAAAGCAAGAAAAGAAAGTAGAAGAAATGCATAATATACACAGTAAACAGAGGTGTGAGACAAAGGAATAGTAATAACGAAGAACAAAACAGTTTGATTGGAAATCATAAGTCACAAGGAGTGGATGCATCTGCGTTAGCCATTGAGAACGATTTTGAGCCATGTCACCAATTGTTTCCAACCATTGGTTTTTACAGTCCCGAGGGCCCCAACCAGGAAGTCTACACCTTCCTACGTGGCTTAGACTGACTGTTGTGGATTTCATTGACTGGTACCATGTTTTCGTTTGACCGCCACTAGCTCTTTTCCAGCCTGGCCCTATATCAGCTAACATTGCCCGTCGAGGAAGGCGATGACTAGGCATACGCAGCACATGTCCTAACCATCTCAGTCGATGTAATTTCACAGTCTCGTCGACTGATTTCCCCTCCTTACCTAGCACTCAACGCCTAACCTCGATATTGCTCACCTTATTATGCCACTTCACACGGGAGATAGAACGCAGACACCTATGATCGAAGACAGCTAATCTTTTCATGTCTTCTGCTCTCAATGGCCAGGTCTCGTTCACAGCTATAAAGGAGGACGGAGCGGACTGATGAGCATTACACACGCCCTTTGGTCGATAGTCGGATATCACGTCTACGCCAGAGACGGCGTAAACTGGCATATGCGAAACTAGCCCTCTGTATAGGTAGGTGGAGAGAGAGATTGATTAATGAATCCTGCCTGGTTGGTTCATCGAGTCTACACCCAACACATGCAACAGAACTGACTCAATGCAAATACCAGAGATATGCATGGAAGACATTATTATCACCAGTCAGTTAAATCAGAGGAGGATAATAAATAATCTCAAATTGTATTCTATTTCAATTCAGGCACATCACAACATTCTAACAAGTTACTTATTATTTTGACTATAAAAACACTCGTCTTATTACCCGTCTGATTGTATTCGATCAATAACACTCATATTATTATTTCTGAATGTACATTATCCCATATTGATTTTTATTCAAATGTCTAATCATCAATTCCACTCATGTATATAAATGAAGCATGAAAGTTGTGTGAGTGAGTGACTTGATATGATTATGAGCTGCAGAGTATAAATCGTGCTCGAAACGTTGGTGTATCAGTAAATATTGCTGTATAACACTACACTGTGTGACACTTTATCAAAATAAAATCTTATCCAAAATGGAGTTATACACACACGTACTTTTTTAACACTTGATTTCACCTCTCTTTCTTTCTTTTTTTTGTTTGATTTATAGTTGTGAACGATGGTTTTGTGCAAGGCATCATCACCCTGAAGATCATCAGTGCAATTTCAACTTTAAAACTATGGTGAATTCAGCTTAAAAAATATGACTCTTCTTTTCAAGTTTTTTTCTTTTTGTTGATATATACTACTGAATTCGTCGTCGATGATATGTTTCCATTTTATGACTACTGCTACTCTTATGTAGGCTAATTAATTTACTGATATTATTATCTTAAAAATAAGGAACTTTTGTTACCAGTTGAGATTTTATGAAGTTTGTATATTTGGTTGTTTTGTACAAATGCTCTCACATCCTCATCATTATGACGATGATGCTTGTTATTTCTCGTTTAGTTAGCAATTCTGGTCTTATTCTGCGCAGTGTTAGTGTTTCTAGAATGCTTTATCTATCCAGGCTTTTATTGTCTTCCCTACATGAAGTTGAACGAAGCTGAAACAGCAACGCTACGCAGCTGAACTCAACTCAACTGAGTAGGATAATACGATATCATCATTACTGTCATCTTTTTTTTCTATAGTCATTAACTTGACAATTTTTGTTATCTTTTCCGACTTGTCCCCTGCTGAATTCCAACAGCACACGCAGTTGGCGAGGTGGTGATGGTGGAGGGGGTCAGTGGCGGAGAATGTCTCACCACCTCTACTAAAACTTAAAAGCTTGAAGCCCTGTGTTGTTCCACTCCACTACATTGTTTTACTCTTACACAACGCGTATTGTCGCCTTGACACCGGATGAATAGTCAAACGACCCACTTCGCTGCTTAACTCTCTTGAATACTCTTGTGATTGGAATTCCTGAGCAATTGGATCAGGTCCCCCCGGTACAGCTGTATGGCCTACAAGCTCACTTGGTAAACGAAAAGTCATGGTGGGATACGTGCTGCTGGACATCCCCCCCACCACAACCACCACCTCGAACTAGGCCGAAACAGCTGTCAAATACTTCCAGCTGGTTTTCCAATAATTCTTTCAACTGATGTCAGCTGTAATGTTATAAGAGTGTCACTAACATCACCGCCAATAAAATAGTTCTACGTGTGCTTTCTTTGTCATTATTATTATTGTCGTTGTTGGACAATTATTTTACTCGTGTAATTCTTAAAAATGAATTAGGATAGGCAAATTTGATTTTAATATTTACGATTATTACAGGGATTTCGCTGTCTTGTGATGTTTTCCTTTTGTTTGTTCTCTCCTTTGTTTGTATTTGCTTCCATAGTCAGGTGTGTTTGCATGTTTTGTGTGTGTTTGTGCTTGCGTGTTTGTGTATACATGTGTATCAAGCGTACATCCTTGGGCTACTTAAGAAAGCCCTCAGTAGGGTGAGTGGGGTGTCTCTAAGCTAAACCAACTCGTTACTACTGTTGTAGACAGTGGACACATGGACTCCTGCAAGAAATGAGCAAATATTATCTTGTCAGACTCTGAACATCCGCTGTCTCTCTCTCTCTCCATACACAACCCTCTCCTTGCTGTATCTCATCAGAAGACACTGTATGCTCGAACGACTGAGTACAACAGCTCTACAATACCTTATTTGGCTGGGAACTTACTGTGGAACTCTAAGTAAACAGCCCCACCATCTTGTTGTTGTTGTTTCATTGTCGTTATTATATTTTCACTTGATTTAGCTTTATATTCACTTGCTTGTTATGGAACAATACTTTATTAGTGTAAATGCCCCCCCCCCCTGTTTTACTAATTATTACCCCCGTGTAATGAGAAAGTTTGTAGGAATATTGTTGTACTACCTGCTGAAAATTCCATATTTGTACGAAAAAGACATACTCTTTGGAATAAAGCTATTATAATAATTATTATTATTATTGTGGATCCACTGCTTGTCATCCGCTTTCTCGCTTCTTCTCTTTGTATATTCTAGTTTGGTTTCAATTTTTTTTTTGTTACCGCAATTTATTGGTTAAGTGTTTTTATTCTAACTTTATTTATATATACTACTTAAATAGCAATTTCATTCATTATGTTTTCCTGTGTATGTGTACGTCGGTGGTTGGGTGAATGGGTGGCTTTTTATTCCACGATGTGTAACATGGGACCTTAACTGTAACAGTAGCGCATTTTCATTCCTTGCCTTCTGAGCGGAACAAATAGCCTCACACCAAACCTACTCTCTCTCCTCAAGGCTTGGTATCAGCTAGTAATTACCTAGGGGGGGGAGGTTAAGGAGTGTGTTGTCCGGGAATTGAACTCTGGACCACCGAGACAGTAATTACAACAGATCCCATATTCTGAATATCAATCACCAGCTTACTGACAGCTAATGGATGGACTTCTGGAAGATTCACTGGGAAGTCGTCACCAGTCGGCTTCAACGTGTCAAGATGAATTAGATGCTTGTCGGAGGCGCTATATCATGAGTCGATAAAGTTAGAATTTTAGGAGTTAGTGAGTTCCAGTTCAAGTCTCACAACCAGATCCCTGTTTGGGGGGGGGGGGGGGCGGTTGGCGTACACCGATGAAGAGTCCCAAACTAGGATGAAACACCCAGTTATAATGGTCTCCCTATCTCATGTTGGTTTATGAAGAAAATTTAACTGGTGAGATAGGAAGAGAATGAAGTGGTCTTTCCATTGAAACAAAATAATAATAACAATACAAGCGTGGGGTGTGCTACTGACAGGTTTTGTAAGTAGTATATACATCATCTTAAAAAATATTGAATAGTGGAGGTAAGGATTTAACGGTGAAGAGAATGTAAGGGGAAGATTTTTGTTAGTGGACAACATGGAAAAGCATAGAAGGAAGACAAAAGAAGCTGATGACGGAGGACATGCGAAAAAGCTTATTTTAATATAATTCTTCGTAGATTATTAATTTACCTTCCAAGCGGAAGGTGGCACAGTGGTTAGGACTCTCGCCGACCATGCACATGGTCCGGGGTTCGATCCCCTGCCGGCACACACCCGATATCTACGGTCGGCCTGAATTTGGGCTACCGATATCCATGCTGAAAATTCCACACTTGTACTGAAAATACGGTGTGGAATCAAGCTGTAAATCAAATTAAAATAAAATAAATAAAACATAGAGCTCCAAGGTAGGGTTTTGAAGTCTCAGCTACAGTAGCTTTGTTTTCCTTTGGAATGGGGTTGCTAGCCTTACTTCTGACCTTTCCTCATCACTGGACTTACCACCTGCTTAATGAGGTTTAGAACTGCTCCCACACTGGCCAGGGATTGAACTCTGGAATACGTACGTGGTTGGTGAATGTTCTGCTGCTGAACCACCCACGCAAGTTTTTCTTTATAAGGCCGTATATGTGGTTGCCAATGACAACCGAATTTCCCCACCAAATTCAATTATGTTCTGCTGTTACTCACGTAAACATAAGCTTCAGGTGTTGCATTCCGCGAAGTTGGCTTACTAAATAAAAGAAGACTGACTGATAACGGAAAGTGATCTCTGGACTATTATTATTATTTAAAGAACAAGAAGTTCAGCAAAGATGTTGATCTTTTCGGCGATTTCATTCTCAAAAGCAGCTGTACAATCGCATTTGTATAGATTAGTTTACATGGATACAATTATTATTTGCTTAATTCCACATAGTAACGAAGGTGATATTAATTTTCAACTTGATATGAAAGTTTGAAGGTACGAATGTAGATTACGAGGGGCTTAGATACAACATTGTATAGGATTAGAGAACAGTTACAACGTATGCAAAATTAATATTTGATAACTGGAGAAATAATTTTAAAAGCAAATAAAAGGTGATAATTATTTTCAACTTGATATAAATTACAAGAGGCTTAGAGACGAAAGTTACGCAGGGATAGAACGAATTACAGGTGTGAACAAAATGAGCATGGAAACAAATTGAAATCAAAATTTTCAACTTGAAATGTAAGTTAAGAGGTGTGTGTGTGAATACAGATTACAAGAGGCACAGAAACAAAAAACTATACAGGATTAGAATATAATTGTAAAATGGTTATTCTAAAAGTGTGAACAGGAGGAGCATGGAAAAAAACTTAAAACAACTGATTTTATAACTGAAAAAAATGGGATGAAATGAATGAAGACAAAGAGAGAAAATCACACACACACACAAAGGACAAAACGAAAAAAACTGAAGGATAAGGGAACATACCGAACTAGGTCCATGGTAGTTGGCTGGACTAGTTTCTTTTGAACGCATAGCTCTGGCTTTTCGATGCATATGGCGAAAGCTTCCGCAGTATAAAGAAGTCGGAAACACACTGACTTTGCAGGTAGATTTTTGTTTACTTTGTAAATGACTCTGAATGATGAGTCAGTTGAGATTCTGTGACAGGTATTGACGAGGTGTTCAGTTATTGCGCAGACATGCTGGATGATGTTCTCTAGCACCTTGTGATAAGACCCGCATAGAACGACCTATGTACCTAGCTCCGCAAGAGCAGGTGAACTGATATATGCACATTGAAGTGGTCATATGCGGAAGTCTGTCCTTCCCGTTGCTCCGAACTAGTGGGTGGCTAGAGAATTTCATTATTTATACTACTATGGTTTAGTCTTAGATAACTTACCATTGACTTTCATATAGGAGATGCGGTTTATCGACTTATGTATATGATTCCCTACCAAATGGGTCCCGGGTTCGAATCACACTCTCCACCTTCTTCATTTCGGACAACTGGATAATATTATTAGCTGGCTAGCTAGCTTTCAAATGCAATAAGCGTTTGGCTTATAACCAGTCACCTAGCTTGTATATGAGAAATTTGTTTTGGTTTATTGAGTTCATTTCGTTGTAGCCAATAAGATCTGTTTCCCAGTGCAATATTACCAAGTGTTGGTTTGCAGGGATTTGATTGGCTACAGGTTTGACCAATAGCTGACCTCAGTTAAAGAACCACCATAAATCCAAGGAGTAATGAACAGCTGTTTGGTCCTGACTTTTCTTTCAGTGGTATGCATCTATTGAGGTTCGAATCCAGGACTTTCCGGTTACAAGGCGAGTTTGTGAATCATTCAGCCACCAAGACACAATGCTTCAACTGCCCATGAATTCCAATTTCTGCTCTTTGTATCTCTCTCTATGTATCTTTAATTTGTAGGAGTTGGAATTCAT